TTTTATTTTCTTTGTTGCTATTGTGAAGGGTATTGAGTCTTTGATCTGGTTCTCAGTTGACTGTTGTTGGCATATAGGAATGCTACTTATTTCTGTACATTGATTTTGTAACATGAATTTGTTTATCAATTACAGTAGTCTCATGCCAGAATCTTTGGGTTTTTCTAGACATAAGATCATATCGTCAGCAAAGAGCAATAGTTTGACCGCTTATACCCCCATTTGGATGTCCTTGATATCCTTCTCTTATATGACTGCTCTGGCTGGTACTTCAAAGCACTAAGTTGAATAGAGGCAGGGATAGAGGACAACCTTGTCTATTTCCAGTTCTAAGTGGGAATGCTTTCAATTTTTCCAATAGAACAGAACCGAAAACCCATATCTAAAACCATCCTCATATAGCTATCTAATCTTTGACAAAGCAGATAAAAAATACACTAGGGAAAAGAATCCTTATTCAATAAATGGGACTGGGAAAATTGGATAGCCACATGTAGAAGACTGAAATAGGATCCGCACCTCTCACCTCTCACAAAAGTCAGCTCACAGTGGATAACAGACTTAAACCTAAGGCATGAAACCATAAAAAGTCTAGAAGAAAATGTTGGAAAAACTCTTATAGATATTGGCCTAGGCAAAGAATTTATCAAGAAGACCCAAAAATCAATCACAATGACAACAAAAACAAATAAATGGGACCTGATTTAAAAAAGGTCAAATTAAAAAGCTTCTGCACAGCCAAGGAAACTATCACAAGAACAAACAGACAACCTATAGAATGAGAGAAAATATTCTCATGCTACACATGTGATAAAGGGCTGATAACTAGAATCTATAAAGAACTCAGGAAAATCAGCAAGAAAAACTCAAACAACCCCATTAAAGAGTGGGCAAAGGACATGAACAGAAACTTGTCAAAAGAAGACAGAATAATGGCCAACAAATACATAAAAAATGTTCAACATCTCTAATCATTAGGGAAATGCAAATTCAAACCACAATGAGATATTACTTAACTCTAGTGAGAATGGCTTTTATCAAAAATTCCCAAAACAATAAATGTTGGCATGGGTGCGGAAAGATAGGAACACTCCTACACTGCTGGGGGAACTGCAAACTAGTACAACTTCTATGGAAAGCAATATGGAGATACCTCAAAGAGCTATAAGTAGAGCTACCATTTGATCTAGCAATCCCATTATTGGGCATCTACCCGAAGGAAAAAAAGACATTCTGTAAAAAAGACATCTGCACTCGAATGCTTATAGCAGCACAATTCACTATTGCAAAGATGTGGAAACAACCCAAATGCCCATCAATACATGAGTGGATTAATAAATGTGATATATGTATGCCATGGAGTTCTACTCAGCCACAAAAAACAGGGGTGATTTAGCACCTCTTATATTATCCTGGATAGAGCTGAAACCTATTCTACTAAGTGAAGTATCACAGGAATGGAAAAACAAGCACCACATGTACTCACCATCAAATGGGTATTAACTGATCAACACTTATGTGCACATATAGTAGTAACAGTCAACGGGTGTGGGGCAGGTGGTGGGAGGAGGAAGGGATGGCTATATTCACACCTAAATGTGTGTGGTGTGCACTATCTGGGGAATGTACATGCTTGAAGCTCTTTGGGTGGGGCAAAGGCAATATACATAATGTAAACATTTGTACCCCTGTCATATGCTGAAATAAAAAAAATTAAAAATAAAGTTAAAAAATGGAAAAAGAAGCAATGAAGAATTGATACATGCTCACATGCATGAACCTTGAAAATATTCTAATTGAATGAAGCCAGACACAAAAGGTTACATATTTTATGCATTTAAGTGAAATATCCAGAATAGGCAAATCCATAGAGAAAGAATGTAGATTACTGGTCACCAGGGATGGGGATGTAGGCAGAATGGAGAGGGAATACTAATGGGATGACAAAATGTTCAGGAATTAGATAGTGGTAATTGTTTCAAAACCTTTTGAATACTAAAACCACTAAATTATATACATTAAAAGTTTAAAATTTATGATTTATGAGTTTTCACTCAATAAAAGGATATACACATGGACATTTCAATATAGCATATTAGGGAGTTATTCAAATTATTAAAAGAGTTTAAAATCTCTGGTATCAAAGACTAGTGTAAATTTGGGAAGCAAATATTCACAGGCTTTGAAAAATTACTTAAAGATTGCTGCATTTGATGGAAGAAAACATTTCTCATATGAAGATTCAGATGGACTAATTATTACTGAGGAAGACAATTCTAAAGTTAATTTTTCTTGGCAATTGAAGATATAATAATAGAATGCATAATAATACATTTTGAATTATATGTGATTCATGAAGTCACAAGTTACAGTGACATGAAGTCAGATATACAGTACAAGATACAGAGTATATCTGAGGAAATATTAAAATGCCATTGCCTAAATTTACATTTGAAACTAAACTCAAACCTATATGAAACTGACTCATATGGAAAGATAACATTTTAGAAAAATTGTTCTATGAGAATCTTTAGCTCTAGATGTACTAAAATTTATATTTTAAAATAATTTATCAGAACTTTACCCCAATGTTGTCACAGCCTATGAAATATTCTAAACAGATCTAGTGATAGCTATGTCAGCAAACAATTCTCCTCAAAATTTAAGATTGTTAATGATTATAAGTTTGAATTTGCCAAAAACTTCTGATGTTGCTTTAAATTGTGTGTGATAGAATTTCCCATACTTATCTTCAGTACACAAGCTCCTCTGCTCATGCTAGACTCACCTATGCAGTATTTCAAAGGTGATTCTCAAATTTCCACTTGGGAAATAATAGTTAAAAAATGGAAACTTTAATAAAATGAGAGCTAGGCACCTCTGTGAAAATCAGTTCTATCTTGCACACATTCTATTTTGTCAATACCAACTACCTGTCAGATATCCAATTTCTTTAAAGGACTTATAAAATGAGAGTAATAAAAGTAGCAATTGGCTGGCATGTTCATGATGTTGCCAAAAGGATAAATCTTGATGACCTAATAAATGCATTTGCAGAAAAGCGAGCCAGAAAAACTTTATGATCAATTAAGGTATCACATTAATAAAGTGTTTTTTGTATTATATAAAACTATGACAACAAAAATATTACCCTTTTTGTAATTTGTATTCATGTATCACTATTACTCCATTATGTTTTATAAGTAATAAAATATTTTTAAAAGAAAATTATTTACATTTGAGCACCTTTAATTGAACTTTTTTTCCTGTACTTTGAACAAAAGGCCTTTCATTTTCATTTTGCACTGGGCCCTACAGAGTATATTACTGGCCTGAATGTGAAGTATATTGTTTACAATTGGACCTTAAAGTAGTAGAGCACTCCTTTTAACATAAAAAGATCATATTTTTAAAGAAATAAAAAAGACATAAATGTGTAGACAGAATTGATCCTTGTAGACTTTATCCTATCTGACTTTTGGAAGAAAAGGTATTTTCTTCCTTGAGCTCTAGGGCTTAACCACAAACTCAGTAAAGAATGTCTCTTGGTGCTGAGAAGTGAAATCCACCAAGGCTCAGTGGTTCTCAACCAGGTACAAGGCCCCTACACGGCACAGGGAGCTTTCTGGAAACACAACAGTGCATTTTTCCGGTTGTCACTGCTGGCACGCAGTGGTGAGGCTTGGGAATGCTGCAGGAGTGTGCAGGACGGTCTTTCACAGTGGAAATATACCTTGCCTCAAATGTCAGTTGTGCTCTAGCTGAAAAAAAGCTATTATTTTTTCCTGCTCAGGGAGAAGCAGATTCCCTGTGCACTGGTTACCTATGTGGCTGAGTCTGGTGAGGCAGACTCACACACATGTGATAACAAACGAGTTTATTATTTTGGGAGCCTTGAATTCATTGTGAACTGGTCTCCCAAGGCTCAGGAAAACTGCCCATGGAGGATGGCATTTCATCTGAGCATGCTCTACCAGCATCACAGCTGGGGGACTCCAGAAAGCAGCCCACCTCAGGAGCAACGTGATGTGCCAGGCTAAAGCACTGAAGGACATCTGGTTTCTAGGGGGTCTGGAGCAGAGCCTGGGCTGTTCTGGTCAGTCCCTCCCTACGTCAGGATGCTGCATTCTCAGCATATTACACATTATTCTTGAGAATAAAGGGGGAGACTGATTGGTCCAAGGCTACCCAGGGATCTGTCTTACACCCAGTGCCATCTCATCTTCCCCTGTCACTCAATAACCACATAGGGAGAGCCACTTCCAGAAGACCCATCATGTGGACTTGCCCCACTTAAAGTACAAGGAAAGGACCGACCCAACTTCGGCAGAACAAATCATAATACGTTGAAAAAGTAAAATTTTACTTATAGCCAACAGTTTCTGAAGCTTGTGTCAGGTGAGAAGACAGAGTGACTGAAGTCTTTTGAGGTCACTACATGAAATGTATTACACGTACAGAACACACGGATATCTTCCATTAACCTATGACCTAAGGCAGTAATGCTAGATTGGAAGCATATACTTTGTAAATGTTAGTGTTGCCTGGCACACTTTCTATGCAATCAGCTGTCTCACCTGTCTTCTTGAATATAGTTATTTATTATTCTGTTATTGCTATCCCAATTGACAAAGCTAGAAAATATATTTGTCATTATCTATAAAGCTAGGATTAGTCAAATAAGGCAGTAAGATCTTACACAACTGATTCTACTAAGGTGGCAGAGGGCTCTACAATTACAATATTTCCTACTTGTAAACATATTTTTTGTAGAATTATACAGATTGTTCCAATCTTCAAACAGATGAGCAAAGGAAACAAATTGGAAAGGCAAACATGAAAAATAAAAAGTTCTTTTCACTCAATGTAAGAAATTACTCTAGATTGTTAAACATGCCATCAATTTGCAATTTATTATAAAGGCATCTTCCTTTTCTCTTTTCTCCAATAGATGCATCATATGTTTTTTTTTTTTTCAATAAATTCAGTGCATTTGGAAAAATACCCAGATGGTTTAATTTCTTTAGGGAATTGTATGTATCCAGGATAGCATTCACAGCTGCCAGAAAATGTATTTCTTCACTGTGGCTACCACCGGCTGTTCATGACATAAAACTGGAAGAAAAAAATAGAGAGGCAAAGAATAAAAAATGGAGAGGATTACAGAAAAACTAAGATTACCACTGTGTTCTCTTAGAGAAAAGTAGAATAATCTAGCTCTAACATTGAAGCACATCATTAGTGCCAAATCAATGCAACAGAGAAAGTGCCCAATAAACCTCTGAATCCAATGGACTGAAGAGAGAGGGAGAAATGTTGCATTTGCATTTAAAGAAGTACTGTTTGAAACTCTACTTTTTGGCCTTAAATAGCACTGAAATGTTGCCTTACCAGGAAGTGGAGTTGGAAGATCTTAGAAAAATCAATGCACATAGAAACCATGCATACTAAATTCCAACTTAAAGAGTCACCAGGCATGACAATCATTTAAAGGCCTTAATTTTCTAGTTAGTTGATAACATTAACGAGCACCTACTGCGTGCTTTAGATTGAAGAGAAAATGAAAGGCGAGCAAAAATGCACAGTAGCTGCAACCTGCTATTGCTCCTACTTGCTTCAAAATTTTCTGCCTATGCAAGAATATTTTTCTGGACTGCACATGCCTCCTACTTTTATGCATGTATGGATTCTATCTATCATTTATTGGGAAATTCAAACCTCAAATCCTTCCACATAAACATGTGTGGCCAGAAGTGATCTATTTTCTGAAATAGCATTGGCGGGCTGGCTATCTGTCTCTCTTTCTCTATCTACCAATCTTTCTATCTACCTATCTCTCCTCTATTTGTCTGCTTTTATCATTTATTGAACGCCAGTTAAGTACAAATGTCTTTGCTCAATGTTTTACAGCAAACGCTGACACAATGCATACCATGTTTAAGACAGTGTTCTCAGAATATTTAATACTCAGAACACTATAAGGCTGGTAGAATTCTTACTAATCCAAATTTAACTTATGAGCAATTCAAGGCACACAGACATAAAGTGACTTGTCCAAAGTTGTTTAGTTGGTAAATGGCAGAGCTGGAATTTAAACCCAGGCCATTGGGCTACAAAAGCCAAGCTCTTCATCATTTTACTACATGTTTTTTATGTTATCTTCCTTTATCCCCTCAACAACCCTGTAGAGAAAGAAATACAATCTTCCCTTGTCAGGTAAGAAATGAGCCTCAGGATTGTGTGTGCTAAGAAAGTATCCTGCCCCGGTTTCATAAATGCTGATAGAAGACATGAGATTTCTAATTCAGAGACAAAGAACTTTATCATCTAAAGCAATAGCAATAGCATTATTTTGTGCCATTTTCCCAAGCTGCAATTATAAAAGATGAAATGAAGAGACACAGGTGACTATTGCACATGCAGGAGATAGCATTATAGAAGGAGAGACCTGAGCTTATGGAACTCAAACCTTTTATTGTGGGAGGCAAGCATGCCTGCACTTTGCTGTAGAGGAAGACGCTATTTTTATTTATCTTTCTTTGTTACATACATTTTAGTTGATGAGTAGCCATTGTATATATTTAGGTATACAGCATAATGTTTGGATTTGTATGCCCCGTGGAATGGTGAAATCAAGCAATTTATCCTGTGGATCACCTCACATACCATTTTTTTGTGTGTTGAGAACACTTAGAATCACTTCTTAGCAATATTCAAGTATATAATACCTTGTTATTAACTGTAGTCACCACAATGTACAACAGATCTCTTGAACTTATTCCTCTTGCCTAACTAAAACTTTGTGTGCTTTGGCCAACATCTTCCTAATCTTCCCACCCCCAGCATTTTGTAACCTCCACTTTTGATTTCAACTTTTTTATATTTCACATATAAGTGAGATCATGTGGTATTTGTCTTTTTGTGCCTGGCTTATTTCACTTAGCAAAATGTCCTCCAGGTTCATCCATGTTGCCATAAAAGACAGGATTTTCTTCTCTGTTAATGCTGAATAGCATTCCATTGTGTATATATACCACAGTTTTTTTTATCCATCCATGTGTATTTCTGTGCTATCAGTTGTAACATCTGTCTTTCAAGGCTGTTTACTCTACAAACATCCTTAAAATATATCCAAAACACAGAAGACCATGGCTCTGCTTATAAGACAAGCAGAAATGGGAGAGATTCATAGAGAATTTATTCTCAACAAAGTTATACTGCTAGTAAGTAGAAGAATTGAAATTGGAAGCTGGATATTTCTCATAATTTTTCTACATATTTTTCTTCAATGATTTAAAGCCATTGGTAAGACTCTGCTCTCTCTATAAAAGATGAAATCCAATACACATTATAATTGGTCTACAATGATAGCCATAAATTCTGAATGGATAAATCTAATTTTTAATTTGTTTATAAATGAACTCATTGCAGTTCATGAGTTCCCAGTTACACCTAGCCGTTGAAAAATTATAATATACGAAGTCAGGGTAATTTATTCATTTCCATTTTACAAATTAGACTCTTTTAAGTATGTAGTCAAATTCAGAATTCTCTTCTGACTGTTCTGCATTCCTCCCTGGGATGATGTACATTTATAGTGAGTTTATGTATCAACCTCGCATCTTGGGAAGTGTCCCCTTATCCATGGGGCATCTTCATTCCTTGCTGATCCTCTCAGTGGTGTAGCTCACGCCAGCTATCTTTATGGGCATAAGCTGGCATCCGCGTAGGTCTTGTACCCCTTCCTGGTTGTTGTGCACCACACTCTGGACTTCACCGTTGCTGTCCATGGTCCTGGCCTGACTTCTGTTTTAAGACCCCTTCCCACATGCATCCTGGCAAGTAGGGACATCCTGGCTGCACTCAGATTTTCCACTGGTCTACCAGGATTTCTATTAGGGTATTTATAACACTGGTCTACCAGGATTTCTATTGGGGTATTTATAACACTCCCCTGATTCTGCCTTGTAGTCAGGGCTAGGAATGGGAAGAACTGGAAACCAGACAGTTGTAAATCCTAGACATGCCTATCCTATTTTTCTCTTTCTGTTACTAGTGAAACTTTTATTTCTCTTTTTGTGGGAAAAAAAGTCTGTTACGTCACCATACATTTTTATTACTCTATGGCTTATAATATAAATACCTGCACAGTTTTACAAGCATTTTCTTCCTGAAACTCAGTTTTAAAAAAATACTTTAGCAAAGCTTGGCTCTTCTAAATAAAAATCTTACTTTTAAGATTATTCTTTCATCATCCATTCATGTGTCTAATTATTTGCTATAGATTTACCGAATTATGTTCCTCATTTCAATTGTTATCTTAGATCAAGGTTTTACCTACTCCATTTCTAAGCAAACATATGGAAAATACTCAATAATGCCTTTGCAGTGGGGTGCTGAGAAGGGAGTAAATATGGTAAAGATAATAGGAAAATTAAGTACTGACCTTGTGTAATAATTTCAAATGCCAATTAGAGATAACAAATTAAACTTTTCTAAAATAGTATAAAAACTCAATATAATTAGCTACAAATAAATAACAATCAAATCATTTCCAATCCAGAAAATTACTCCCTTCTTTGCAAACACACTTAGCTTTTCATTTACTCTGGACATTTAGGAACTGGAGGGTTTCTCCTCCTTCTATACCATTTAAAAAGCAAAACAAAACAAACCACAGGAAACAAAAAAATACTTCAACTACATTTCAAATCTTATTTTCATGACTATGCAAAGAGACTGATTTTCCTGAGGTCTCCTGCACCAGATCTTCCCTGTTAGTGCTGGGTGGTATAGAAGTAACTACACCTCTGCTTGACATATTGATGGCCTCAGACCTCTAGTTGGCCAGATTTGGAGTGATTTTTTAGAACTCTCAGGCCGGTCACCTCTGGTAGTGTGCAGACTTTTCTGTTCATACCAAGGTGCAATATTAAATATAATAATATAATAAATAATATTATTTTCCAGTGTACCATGATGTCAGGAGTTTGGGAATGACTTTCTTATACCAGGTCTTACTTATATAGTGTAATTGTGCAATGATACTTTCTCCATAGGAACATTTTATTAGACCTCAATTATATTGTATACAATAATGATTTTGCCACATGCAAGTGTATTTTGTGTGTCCCTCAGAGGACAGTATCTTGTGCATGGCCAATTTTCAACAATATTTTTAATGGGAATAAAGTCTATGGATAGACAGAAATACACTTGAGTTAGTTTTCAACAGAAGTTAAAAGATGTTCAATGGCAGAGAAGGAGACAGAACATTTTTCATACCAGTATTTTGAAACTAAAAAAATTATATCCCTCTTAGGGATGGGGATGGGATACTTTAATATATTTGTGACAGAAAGTATCTTGGCTAAAATGCAGAATGTCTGTTAAAAAAAAGTTACCAGAATTTTAAAGAGTTTATTAATGAAAGACAATTGATACTAGACTAGAGAGATTAATTTTATTTTTCAGTAAACTTTTAGTAATCATTGATAATTTTTCTTTCTCAAAGTTATAGAATTACCTTAGTAGATGACTGTGAAGTATGTTGAAAAAAGAGAGTGATAGCAGTTTGGAAATGTATGTAATACATTGTGAGCATGACTAAAACCCTATACAAGCCTATTGATGAATAAATTTAGTGGCTATAGAAATGAAAAAGATATAAAATACTTGAAATAACTGACAACAGTCCATGATGAATACATGAAAAGTTTAAGAGAGAAGAATAGAAAATAGTTTAAGTTTTAAAAACAGGAAAAGGGCTGATTATAACAGAATTGGAAAGCAAGTTGCTGAGATTCAGTTTGGGGAGATGGACACCTTTGGTGGGTGAGCAAGAAGAAGCAAAGGCAGAAAAAAAATACAAAAGAGGATAAATAAATGGAGAAAACATAAGCGATCCCAGGGGTGTATGTTAAAGACATTAGAGTGGAAGAAAAGCTACAAGAAACTTGCTGCAGACTAACAGCCATTTTAGAAAGAGATCCAACAAGAAAGGAAAGAATATACTAGTATACTTCATCTTCAAGAGTGCATTAATCATTCACCAGAGAAGGATAAGGAAATGAAAGCATCCTTTATTTCTCTTTGGCATTTCCAGGAGATGAATG